GACAGAAGGACGACGTACCAAGGAGATATAGACAGTTGTTGACATGCAGACGACGGACGACGTACCAGGGAGATATAGACAGTTGTTGACATGCAGACGAAGGACGACGTACCAAAGAGATATAGACAGTGGTTGACATGCAGAAGAAGGACGACGTACCAAGGAGATCTGGACAGTTGTTGACATGCAGACGACGGACGACGTACTAAGGAGATATAGACAGAAGGACAAAAGGACGACGTACCAAGGATATATAGACAGTTCGGACAGAAGGACGATGTACTAGGGAGATGTAGACAGTTCGGACAGAAGGACGACGTACAAAGGAGATATAGACAGTTGTTGACATGCAGACGACGGACGACGTACCAGGGAGTTATAGAAAGTTCAAACAGAAGGACGACGTACCAAGGAGATATAGACAGTTGTTGACATGCAGACGACGGACGACGTACCAGGGAGATATATACAGTTGTTGACATACAGACGAAGGACGACGTACCAGGGAGATATAGACAGTTCGGACAGAAGGACGACGTACCAAGGATATATAGACAGTTGTTGACATGCAGACGATGGGCGATGTACCAGGGAGATATAGACAGTTGTTGACATGCAGACGATGGACGATGTACCAGGGAGATATAGACAGTTCGGACAGAAGGACGACGTACCAAGGAGATATAGACAGTTGTTGACATGCAGACGAAGGACGACGTACCAGGGATATATAGACAGTTGTTGACATACAGACGACGGACAACGTACCAAGGAGATATAGACAGTTGTTGACATGCAGACGATGGACGATGTACCAGGGAGATATAAACAGTTGTTGACATACAGACCACGGACGACGTACCAAGGAGATATAGACAGTTGTTGACATGCAGACGAAAGACGACGTACCAAGGATATATAGACAGTTGGGACAGAAGGACGACGTACTAGGGAGATATAGACAGTTCGGACAGGTGAACTGAACACATCTTACCTTTAGTTTAGTGTTGTTGTAATCCAAAAGAACAATACGACCGTCAGTCAGATCTGCAGCCCCGAACAGCCAGCAGCGTTCATCATCTGTTGTCAATGCAGCTGAGAATTCCCCGTGGAAGCTCAATTGTACAGGAACGTGACTATATGTTTTCATTAACAAGGCGTTTTTTCTTGAAGAATCTTGTAAGGTTTCATAAAAGTCACTTTCGGTGACGTCATCATATTGACAGGAGCTAGATAAATCATCTTGAATTGATAACTGACGTAAAGATAGTGTTGATAGAACATCACTGGAGTTCACTGTTGTACCGAACGTGTGTCCTTCAGTCAACCTCATGCCGACGTTATCATCCTCGAGGAAGTCTGATCCCATATAGAGACTCTGGGTATCGTCATGGTCAGCCATACTGTACAAACAAGTAATAGAGACTAGTACGGACCTGTCTGATGAAGTTTATTAAACAATAAGTGTAACCCTTCCCAAACAACTGGACGGTGTATTGATAGTAAAATCTTCAGCATTCAAATTGAAAGCATTTTCTTTGTGTTCACATTAACACCATGTTTTAAATCGTGCCCTGCTGGTCGGAGATCACCTGCTTGTACCCGCTGCACGTGTCGTTAGAGGCGACTTATGTGTAAACCCCCTAAAGAATTGGGGACTTGCTTTTGTGCCCTCAAATTCGGGACACAAAAGTGACAAAAATAAATCTGCTGCACCAATTGAAACGTTTGTGATCTTTTATTTTTCTTTCTACTTCTATCAACCTTTTATTTCCTAGCGTCGTGCTTTGCAATATCTTACTTCTGGCTTTAATATTGAACATTGCCCAGGTGAGGAAAGCAAAGGGTTCTGTCCCAAGGTTGTTACATACATAATAAGCCCTTAAAAGGTAGTTATTATTACCTTCTGAACGTTCAGCATTTAGAGTAATGGAAACGAGTGGTTCACGTTTGTCAGTATAATTTGATCGGGATGAATGCTGTGCTGGGTGCCTTCGGCATGGTAGTTCAGTGAGATAGCACTATAAAGTCGGCATCAGATCAGCGCTATCACAAGGAGGCAACTACACCAACATACCCTGTCTCCGGAACACATACACACATACACGCATTCACAACACATGGAGGCACGTTCTTAAATCGCCTTAGCTGTTAAAAGAACGTTAAACAAAATAAAAACAAACCAAATTATCCTGATATCAATCTGATGCAAACTAAATTTCAAACATATATTCCTTTAAGATATATCCGTGTATTACAAGTTCGCCATTTAAAACTCAATACAGTGCAGCCTCAGCCAAACTTTTAAAAAAATGCCTCCGGAACGTTTACAAGCATCGGATTGTAATCCGTTCGTTAAATCATACCACAACCCTGAAGCACGAGATTTGTGAATTGTTTTCGTGCTAATCATAACTCAACGGACTAAACCAGTGTATACACACTCCTAAATTTCTTACCGGGTGATAGTACTCAACGGACTAAACCAGTGTATACACACCCCTAAACTCCTTACCGGGTGATAGTACTAAACGGACTAAACCAGCGTATACACACTCCTAAACTCCTTACCGGGTGATAGTACTCAACGGACTAAACCAGTGTATACACACTCCTTAACTCCTTACCGGGTGATAGTAATCAACGGACTAAACCAGTGTATACACACTCCTAAACTCCTTACCGGGTGATAATACTCAAAGGACTAAACCAGTGTATACACACTCCGAAACTCCTTATCGGGTGATAGTACTCAACGGACTAAACCAGTGTATACACACTGCTAAACTCCTTACCAGGTTATAGTACTGAACAGAATAAACCAGTGTATACACACTCCTAAACTCCTTACACACTAAACCAATGTATACACACTAAACCAATGTATACACAC